GGTAACGTACTTTCAAAACTTCCATTTTGGTACCTAAGATGTAAAGTTTTAAACATTTAAGTACGTGGGTAACTGGTTGAAGCATTAACCGGTTATCATGCTGATGTGGCGAATGATATGATATCCAACTCAATATTATTTGTTGACGGTTAGTGATATGAATTCTTTTAATCTAAAAGTAGTCTTTTTTTTAATCTAAAGTTAGTTTTCAACCGATTACCCAGGTGCTTAAATGTTTAAAACTTACATCTTAGCTACTAAAATGAAAGTTTTGAAAGTATATTACCCAAAATAGGAATCAAGTTAAATGACGTTATTTTTTCATTCAATTTGCCCTAAATAAAATTGTCGAATATGATGTGTCATAATAACAAAGCTAGCAAGTGATTTCTAAGGTCCCTTCAAAAATAGAAATCCAGGGACACAACAAATCCGACAACAAATGCGGATAACAATTATCTAGATGTTGCACAATGACTCTATCGAAAATAAACAATTATCTACGTAAATGACATGTTCACAAAATAACAACACGAGAATTTAAGGTGGTTCCACTATCAGTGTGATAGTGTACGTCCACCAAAGAGAGAGAGCAATAATATTATTACCACCAAGGAGATTACTAAGTGCTTGTACAAGGATTTTTAAATCCACAATCAACTAGCAAGTCTTCGAAATATCAAGAATTTCAAGAACACTCTCGTACCTCACACACATACATATAGAATATACTAACTAGAGAGTGTTGTATCTATAGAAAGAAGAGAAACCGGGGTGTGTTAAATGTTGGGGCCAAATGGTTATGTATAACCAAACAAAGAGTAAGGACCAAGATTGGAGGATGAGTAGTGAGCAAGGATGGCAAGAGTAGGGAGCAAGCTTGGTGGAGTAGTCACCAAGTATCGGTTTTACTAATTTGGTCATCGAGTGCAACGTCTATAAACACAAGTAATATATTTTATATTACAACAAAAATAACTGAAAAATACATGGCCAAGAATTTGATTCGAGATCCATATTCGAGGCTTGGGTTTGGCCTCTAGAGCACCTTAACCAAATAATAGTGAAAGCAATATGCAGATAGGGAGCCATCAGGATTTTTAAATAAAAAACCGAATTGGGAAAAACAACTGGCAAAAAATGCCACTATATTGATTGGAGCGATTACAAGCTTAGATGTCACGATGTGTATATTTAGACGTATAAGACAACAAACAAAATCACAACAATACCATTCGAAGGTGGGCGGCCCATCCCGCCTAGAACAATTATGTTATCTCTTAACAATAAAATCCATATGATGCTCGTATGCGAGTTATTGGCAACTTGCCAAGGTGCATACGAACCTTCTCGCCCGGTTCATCATTTTGTCGAACTTGACTTGCATGTGACATAACTAACTCCCAAACAATGTACCGTAACTATAAACAACTTCTATAAARTGTGTGCATGCATGATATGAGTATTTACTGAAAATGTGAATTAATTGCAGTAGTCGTAGCAATATCTAATTTGGACGAAAAAATGTGGAGGTTGAAGATTGCAAATGGGGTTAATAACCCATATCTTTACAGCACAAACAATTTCGTTGGAAGGCAAACATGGGAGTTTGACCCTAACTATGGAACTCCAGAAGAGCGTAATGAAGTTGAAAAAGCACGTCTTCATTTCTGGGATCATCGACATGAAGTTAAGCCCAGTAGTGATGTCCTTTGGCGCATGCAGGTTAATCCCTCTTTCTTTCCTCAATATTATTGGATCTGCAAATTAAACCAACTTTTACTGAAACATGAATATGTAATATGTGTGTATGCAGTTTTTAAGAGAGAAGCAGTTTAAACAAACCATAGCTCAAGTGAAGATAGAAGATGGTGAAGACATTAATTATGAAAAAGTTACCACCACATTGAGGAGGTCTGTTCACTTATTTGCAGCCTTGCAGGCTGAGGATGGCCATTGGCCAGCTGAAAATGCCGGTCCAATGTACTTCATACAGCCATTGGTAAATGCTTTGATTTTATTTATGGTTACTCATATAACATAACTTTTAACTTTTAATTTATGGATGCAGCCATATTCACCTAATCATATCAACAAGATGACACTAGCTAATTAACACAAATATCAAACCAAATGCAGGTTATATGCTTGTATATCACAGGGCATCTTAACAGCATGTTCCCACAAGAACATAAAAARGAAATTCTTAGATACTTATATTGTCATCAGGTACTTATAAGTATTATAATGCATTCTCATCCTCGACACAAGTTGACATATAATTAAATCTYATTTTGAATAATTTACAGAATGAAGATGGTGGGTGGGGATTTCACATTGAAGGTCATAGCACTATGTTTGGCACCACTCTCAGTTACATTTGTATGCGTCTTCTAGGAGAAGGACCTGATGGTGGTTTGAATGGTGCATGCACCAAAGCTCGAAAATGGATTCTWGATCATGGCAGTGCGACAACCATTCCCTCTTGGGGAAAAACATGGCTTTCGGTAAGAGGTTTTCATTCATACTGAAATTACTTTAAATTAAATAATTTAYCATTTAAAAACAAGATAAAAGACTTCATCTATGTTTCACAGTTCTTATTAATAATCCCTTAATTTTATCTAGTTTATTTTATTAAATTAAAGCATTTATATGCTTTTGTTGTTTAGATACTTGGTGTTTGTGAGTGGGCAGGAAACAACCCAATGCCCCCTGAGTTTTGGATCCTCCCTTCCTTCCTTCCCATGCATCCAGGTCAGCTTAGTTCTCCTATATCAATTCTTTGAAAAACTAAACATTTTCCGTATCAGGGATAAATCTCTAATAATTGTTCTACTAGATTTGAAAAACTTTTTTTTAGGTAAATGCACCTTTTGTACAGTTAAATGGACACATTTTTTAGGTAATCAACAAATAAAAGTAGAGCATGTAACCTCGAAATGCATACGATAGTAGATTACAAGATTAATTAATCAACGAACATACTCTGTTATATAACGCCACACTTAACTGTCTTCTTCCTCCAAATACGCAGCAAAAATGTGGTGTTACTGTAGGCTCATATACATGCCTATGTCGTACCTATACGGAAGAAGATTTGTGGGTCCAATCTCTCCTCTTGTTTTACAGCTTCGGAATGAACTTTATTCACAACCCTACGATGAAATTAACTGGAAGAGTATGAGACATTTGTGTGCAAAGGTGAATTATTTGCTTTACTTCATTGATTTGTACATTCTTATCCACTCCCCTAATTATTTGTCTAATTAAGCCAATTTATCATCTCAGGAGGACCTATACTATCCCCATCATTTACTACAAGATTTAATGTGGGATAGCCTCTACATATTCACCGAACCTCTCCTAACTCACTGGCCATTTAACAAACTGCGCGAGAAAGCACTCAAAACAACCATGAACCATATCCATTATGAAGATGAGAATAGCCGATATATCACCATTGGTTCAGTGGAGAAGGTATAGAAAAAGGAAAATCACACAATTATCTAAAAGATTAACAAATACCAAGTAGGAATGAGAAATGAATTCACCTTTATTAGGATAATTATGCCTCCTACAAACAAACTCTGCAGGCACTGTGTATGCTTGCATGTTGGGTTGAAGATCCAAATGGGGTTTGCTTTAAAAAGCACCTTGCCCGGATCCCAGATTATATCTGGGTTGCTGAAGATGGAATGAAAATGCAGGTCATACAAGAAAAACCCAGTCCAAAAAGCACAAATTTTCATCATACATGTACTTTAAAATACTAAAAGTATTTTAAGTTACTGAAAACTTCTTGGGTGTTGTTACAAACCAGACTTTTGGCAGTCAGGGATGGGATGCAAGTCTCGCCATCCAAGCTCTATTGGCTAGTGATCTTATCCACGAGATTGGCCCTACCCTGAAGAAAGGACATGACTTTATTAAAGCTTCACAGGTATCCAGATTAAAAATTATGATGCATGCCATGAATTACTAATTAAAGACAAACATGAGTTTCTTGTAGTTATTGGACTCCTTCCTGATTAATCAACCATTATTGTAGGTAAAGGATAATCCTTCTGGTGACTTTAAAAGCATGTATCGCCATATTTCCAAAGGATCATGGACCTTTTCAGATCAAGACCATGGATGGCAAGTTTCTGATTCTACTGCTGACGGATTGAAGGTATTATATAATTCTTTAAAAATCAAATAAACAAGCTAGGAAAAGTTGGCCTCTCATTCTCTACTTACTATGGGCAGTGTTGCCTCCTATTGTCAATGATGCCGGCAGAATTTGTTGGTAAGAAGATGGAGCCTGAGCAACTTAACAATGCTGTTAACGTAATACTTTCCATGCCGGTAAGCATAAATTGAAACACTGGAGAGAACAATAAGCAAATAAAACCTTAAAGTTGTGTAAGCAGCTAATATAGTTGATCAATAATATAAAGATTAACTATTTGAACCTTGACAAGCTCTTTTTTATTATTATTTAAATTGATGATGAGATATATAGAGCATAAATGGTGGGCTACCAGCATGGGAACCAGCAAGATCATCAAAATGGTTGGAGGTAACTAGATCATGAAAATTGTTCTTTCTTTCAAAATGCACTTTACCAGTAGTACCCCTAATTAAGTTAATTTCTGTTCCATTTCAGATTCTCAATCCTACAGAGTTCTTCGCTGACATTGTCATTGAGCATGAGTAAAGCTTTGGACACAGTTTACTATTTCCATTTTTTTCTCCTGTTGACAATTACTTTATAATTTAACAAAGTTGTTGATCAGGTACATTGAATGCACATCATCAGTAATACAGGCCTTGGCATTGTTTAAGAATTCATACCCTGAACATAGGAGTAAAGAAATAGATAGTCTCCTTACCAAAGCAGGTGAATACATTGAGAAAATACAGATGTCAGATGGTTCGTGGTTAGTTTCTCCATTCAGTATCATAAGTATAACAGTTTCTAAAATTGTTGGAATGACAATATTCTACTTAAATTGCCAACATAATTAACGAGCCATGGGTATTAGGTATGGAAACTGGGGTATCTGTTTTACATACGCTACCTGGTTTGCTCTTGGAGGACTGGCAGCAATCGGTAAGACATACGAAAATTGTCAGGCAGTGGGTAAAGCTGTCAATTTTCTGCTGAAAACACAGCTGRAGGATGGTGGTTGGGGAGAAAGCTACCGATCCTGCATAGAAAAGGTTATACTTCAGCAAAAACAAGTGCTCAAAATTAAYAATAGAATAAAACAATTTCTAYTTTTGGTCTAGCAAACTGTGTAACTKTTCAGCAATGCTCACTGGTCTTGCATTCTTCTCCTTGGTTACTTCATAAGCAGAAATATGTGCCTCTAGAAGGAGGACAATCCAACTTGGTACAAACTGCATGGGCTATGATGGGGTTGATACATACCCAACAGGTTAATTTCTTATCTCAAAACTATGTCGTAGACATTATTTATTTTGAATAAAAATAAAAGTATGTGATCGTACAGGCGGAAAGAGATCCTACACCTTTACACAGAGCTGCTAAGTTATTGATCAACTCCCAGCTGAAAAATGGTGATTTCCCCCAACAGGTAAGACAGATAGGAAAGTAAGTTCAGTTAAATCATACGAAAATCGGAGAAGGATAMAAGTTAGTAATGGGCATGTATCTAAGCTAATTTTTTTCAGGTTCATAAAAAAGGTAGGTTGAAGTTTATGCATTTGTCATAATTAAATGACAATGTGCATTGGGTAGTATGAACATGTATGTCTTAGGGTTTCTCGGTAGTTGCTGAATGGTTTGGCGCAGAATGATTAAGAGGCTCGCATGATATAATGCAAATAAAATATAATTGTTCGATAATTATTTACAACGAAATTAGGACGCTGAATGGTTAAGGGAGACCCATGATACAAGATCATTCAGAGGGTTTTAAAACCATTAATTAAGAGGCAGACTTTTTTTTGCCAAACAACATTCACCTCTTAACAGTCCAGAGGTTGTCTCTTAATGAAACTATTAAAAGGTAAACAAACAACCCCTGAGTTATGAATTTCAATAAGGTCCCAATACGAATGAAATATTATAGCATGACGATTTCAATTAAAGATGAAGTGCTAACAAAGTGATGAAATTTGTGATAGGTTCCAACTTCCAACATTTACTAATCACTGTAAAACTATTTGATTAATTAATGCAGGAAACATCTGGAGTTTTCAAGCAAACCTGTCTGTTGCACTATCCATTATACAGGAATATATTCCCAATGTGGGCTCTAGCTGCTTATCGTAAGGTGCTCYCACAACCCACAKCCATCCAACACCATCATCAGTGCAAATAAATAGCTATGGTGTCTATACTTGTATCCAAAAAACCGATGTTTAAATCGGTGTTAAAAATTTGTTATAATAACCTAAAGAGAAAGCTATCATTCTCTTCAATGTTTTATCATGCTCTAATTTTAATCACTTATATCACATATAAATTAAGGTTTATTAAGTCCAATATATACATGGAATCGTTAGACGAACTTTGCAAAGGAATCCTCCAATGTTTGCGTTACTCAAGCCAACATTTTTTCTTCCGCTTTGTCCACTACCGCTCGTACAGGTGCTTCACTCTAAGGCAGAACGCTCCTCTACCGATGTATTTTTATATCTCACCGTTCCGGCAGATGGTTTAGGCATGTTCATCTTTTGCATAAAGAGCACTCGATCATTGAGCTATTACACACTCTTTCAAGGTTGGCTACTTCTAGGCAGACCTCATGACTGTCTCTGTACCCCAATCTCCTTATGACAAGAGTCATTTAGAGGCCTTAGGTGATGATCCGAGTTGTTTTCCTCTTGACGATAAAGCTTATCCATATCATCGTTTCACTGACCAACCTTGATCCCGATCTTGTTTGAAGTCATCTTTCATTTAATCTTTGATCGAATCTATTATTAATTTATATATCTAATTTGTATAGATAACTAAATATATTAAATAACTTTTTTCCTTATATTTATATATATGGTTTCTAGAATGTTAAAAACCCTAATCCGATTGTTTCGTAATAATTATTATACGTCACAAGTCACATTAATTGGTTATTTATGATGAATATATTTTTTCAATCGGAACCTGTGTAAATATTTAATAAAATATTTGAACTGAATACACGATAAACTCAACCACATCTAGCATTTAATATTTGAATATTGTTGAATTCTACACACTACCAAAAAACCCACTTTTTCCGACGGCCATATCCGCCGGAAATCACTATTTCTGATCCTTTTAGTAAGAATTTCTATAAAAGTTGATATGATATTTCTCTTGTTATTAATGACACCATGGGTGTATTATGTTAGGTATGGAGAGGGGTGTGTGTTTTACATATAGTATCTGGTGGGCTCTTGGAGGATTGGTGGCAATTGGGAAGACATATGAGAACTGTCCTGCAATCCGTAAGGTTGTCAATTTTCTACTGAAAATACTGCATGGGCTATGATGGGACTGATTTTTTCTCGGCAGGTCGATTAATTTCTTATTTAATTTTGAAACATATTTTTACTTGGATCTCTTGATAACTATTTATATTCAAATAATTCCATCTGTTCAACAAACAGGTAGAAAGAGACTCGACGTCTTTACACCGAGCAGCGAAGTTGTTGATCAATTCCCAGATGAAAAACGGCGATTTTCCACAAGTATATATAATTTTCATGACAACTTAATAAATGCAATATAAAGAACATGATAGTACTTTCATATGAACATATATATATGATTCATGGTTAATTAACAGACGATTATTCTAATTATACATGTAATTACTACAGGAAGCAGGTGGAGCTTTCAAGAAGAACTGTATCTTGCACTATGCACTATACACTATAGAGGGATGTCCACCCAATGTGGGCTCTAGCTGCTTATCGTAAGCATGTGTTGCAACACCCTACAGGCATCTAATTAACGTTTAGTTTCTTTTTATTGTCAGTGTTTCAATGTTTTATCGTGAGTGTTTCATATTGTTATAGCATGTAACTATAATTACGAACTGTTGTAGCCTGTAAGAAGGAATCTAGTGTTACAATTGCATATTGCAAATCAGGTTCGCATGTCAACATACTCAACTTTGGGAGAAAGTTTAATGTACAAGATTTTTAGGAGGAAGATTAGATATTTTTGATCAATAATGTATATGTAGAGAGGTGGTCTATTTACAAACACAATCATTAGTACAAAATCTAAAAACCAATTAATAAAGATATCTATGGAAATGATAAGAGTTCATATATTATGATCAACGTTTAATATTAGAAAACAACAAAGATATGTATTGAACTAGATATTCATTATACTAGATGGATGGTTGAGATTGGTTTGCAAAATTTATATAAATACACTACTAAATGGAAGATTTTTACCTACGGATTTTCCCATGGAAAATATGTCGCTAAAAGATGATTCATCACAAAACCGTCTCGAAAGTCGGTCGGTAAATTGTTGGGCTAATTCAAATAAGTGATAACTCACATGCATACATATATTATCACATCTGATATGACAAAAATTCATATAGTGGATCATATATGATACATAACATATCGTAAGTTAAACGTAATTAATCAAATATGATTCAAAACGTGGATCCTAAAAATAGAGGGAAAAATGATGAAAAATAATTTTTTTTTGAAAGGCAAAAGGAAGGACAAGGAAGAGAGCTTCGGCAAGGCCATCACCCTCACCAAGCCAACCACTATTAAAAAATAATAATAAATTGATTGTGGATGTGATATGTGACGAAAATTGTGAAAAAAAATCTTATAAAAAAAATAGTGAAAAAATCATATAAAGCTTGATAAAAAAAATATGAACTAAATAAAATTTAAAAAAATAAATAAATCAAAAAAATATAATGATATTTTTAAGAGATTCAAATAGTGCTTTTATTACGATTACACCTTTAACAAAATATTACATCATATTGAATATATGACTTCATTTAATATAACGAAAATATTGATGATGGATTGGTTGGTAGAGGAAATTAAGTAGTGGAGACTGGAGAGAGGTTGAAATAAGAAACCTCAAATACATAAAAATGAGAGAAGTTATATTATCCATTAGATTAAATGACTGAATTCTATTAAATGATAGGCTAATTTAAATCAGTGATAACTCACATGCATACATATATTATCACATCTGATATGATAAAAATTCACATACTGGATCATATATGATACATAACATATCATATGTTAAATGTAATTAATCAAATATGATTTAAAATGTGGATCCCAAAAATAGAGGGAAAAATGATGAAAAATAATAATAAATTAATTGTGGATGTGATATTTGATGAAAATTGTGGGAAAAAAATCTTATGAAAAATATGTCTAAAAAATAGTGAAAAAATCATATAAAGCTTGATAAAAAAATATGAACTAAATAAAATTAAAAAAAAAATTCTAAAAGATATAATGATATTTTTAAGATATTTAAGTAGTGTTTTTATTACGATTACATGATAGTACTTTCATATGAACATATATATATGATTCATGGTTAATTAACATATGATTATTCTAATTATACATGTAATTACTGCAGAAAGCAGGTGGAGCTTTCAAGAAGATATGTATCTTTGCACTATGCACTATACACTATATACTATAGAGGGATGTCCACCCAATGTGGGTTCTAGCTGCTTATCTTAAGCATGTGTTGTAACACCCTACAGACATCTAATTAACGTTAAGTTTGTTTTTATTGTCAGTATTTCAATGTTTTATCGTCAGTGTTTCAAAGTGTTACAATTGCATATTGCAAATTAGGTTCGCGTGTCGACATACTCAATTTTGGGAGAAAGTTTAAAGTACAAGATTTTTAGGAGGAAGATTAGATATTTTTGATCAATAATGTATATGTAAAGAGGTGGTCTATTTACAAACACAACAATTAGTATAAAACATATAAACACAGTAATATGGTCTATTTATCCATTAGATTAAATGACTGAATTCTATTAAATGATGGAAAGTAATATGGTAATTAGTAGAAAGCATCGTGAAGTTTATCGCCGTTGTCGCTCTCCGAATCCCACTTCTCACACTCTCCCAAATCGTGACCGCCTGGATTTGTATCGCCTCCGTCCTCTTCTTCCTTGGTGCCACATGCCTCATGTCCTTCCTTTACGCTTCATTCCTTTTCCAGTAGTCTGCGGCGTACAGCTCTCTCAAGGCCTCTCGTTCGTCTTCACCACCATTAAATATATACGATATATTCAAGAATTTGCTGGAAACAAATGGGGATATTCCTGATCATGGTTGGGCCTCGACAGACTCGTAGCACTTTCTTCAATCATCTTCTTAATCATCAGCAGCGGCTCAAGAGAAAACTATCAGAACATCAAACCAGTTCCTGGAAAACGACAGGTCAACTCGCAATTCTATATATATATAGTTCATATGTGGATCATTCAGGTTCACATATGCACGTAAATAGTTCATATGTGAATGAATTAGCTAGTTCCCATAATGCAATGATTTATTGATGAAGCTCGTTGCAAACATGAAAATGTGAAATTAACGACATTCATGTGATTCATGGTTTTGATGAAATGACAATAAAAGCATATATTGCATGGGACCCATAATATGTGGTTAAGCCACTATTGGAGTATAAAAAGTAATAGAGACATGGGCGGACCTGATGTGGTGGCATGGGTGGCACGTGCCACCGTATTATTTTGCAATTGAAGGGTAAAAAATTTAGGCTTGTTAACGGTGCTACCATATCGTTTTAGAAGGTGCTACCGTATTTCCCTGAAATCCAAATGGTGCAACTAAAACCCAAACAAAACAAAGCCCAAATAACCAAAACCATACTTTTTTGTAATTATTTTTGGGTATATATTGACCGTTTTCAAAAAAAGAAGACACGTCGCGTACAAGTTTAGGAGTTGTTTATCGGTACTTAGGGCTGTAAACAACCGAACGAACACGAACGGGGGCTTGTTCATGTTCGTTCGTTTAACTTAACCGAACAAACACGAACGGTAAACGAATGAAAATCTTTGTGTTCGTGTTTGTTCGTTTAGAAATAAGGTGTGTTCGTGTTCGTTTATGTTCGTTCGTAAACATGCTAAACGAACAAACATAAACGAACGGGCTAAACGAACATAAACGAACATAAATAAATATTATTTGAATTCAAAGTAAATAAATAAAAGATAATATATTAAACTTAATATATAAACGAACATAAACGATCGAACGGGACTCTTGTTCATGTTCGTTCGTTTAACTAAAAAAAATAAAAATCGTTCATGTTCGTTCATTTATTAAATAAACGAACATAAACGAACTTCTCGTCGAACGGTTCACAAACGGTTCGCTGAATGTTCAGTTCGTTTACAG